CATATATATATATATATATATATATATATGTGTGTGTGTGTGTGTGTGTGTGTGTGTGTAGGCTATTAGTAATATTATATGATCAACAATAGTTTTCATTCACTTCCTGATTGAGTAATTTTTAGTTAAAAAACATGAAATGTTTTATACTTATATTCAGGTAGATTCTGAAATCTATGGTAAGCACTGTTCTGTACATTTTTATAGTAGTGTTTTTATGGGCAAATTGTTGTTGTTTTTTTCATTATTTTACAATGTGATTGGTTAGGAGGAAAGCTGTAAAGATATAAACAAAATTGCTTTGTTTTCGATTTTGAATGCACATAATTTCTTGAAATGTACATCTGAAGTCTACACCTAATTAAATGTGTCAGATTTGTTTTATATTACAACACGGTAATGAACAAGATGTAGTCTTTTTGTTCATTGTATACAAAATATCTTGTTAAATTATTATTGGCTGTAAAAAAGAAAAAAGCAGAACTAAATTACTGTCACTGGTTACATATTTTATTTGTTTTCCTCAAGCAGCATATTAAAGTATTAGTCCTTCTCTGTTACATCAGAAACAAACCAACACACAATTTGAGTGAGTGGTTTGTTCTCTAAGGAAACTGAATATTTTAAAACTCTTTAGTTCTAATGTTGAAGAATTGTTTTGCATATTTTGTTACCCAATTGTTTTGCATTGTTACCTAACAAGTACAAAATTCCTTATTGTTCTACAGTTTTGTTCTTTTTTTTTTTGTTATGTGGCAGATGTGATTTTTAATCTCATAAGATTGATAAAATAATTGTAAAGCTCATCAGTATAATGTGAAATAAGTAGGTTTAGCTTGTAACATGAAATTATTATACGTGTAGACGAATAATGAACAGATCTTGTTTCATGTTTTCTCAATACATGATTTGAAAAATATTACCGAATGGAATTTATGTGAACTGTTGTTGATATTGTGTGGCTGTAAACTCGAGCTTATACCTGAAACTGAATTGTGGTGTTGTTACTTAAATGTATATACTTTGAATAGGGTAAAAAAATCATGGTAGAGTTAACATGCATGTAGCTGTTTGAAATATATGGTAATCACATGGTATTGCTTTACAGTTTTTTCTTACTTCATCTTATAAATTCATAATTTGGAAAGTATATATGTCAACTTTCTAATTTTTGTTTCGCGAATAATATGATAGTTATTGTTAATTATGTAATATTTGCTTTTACAAATTCAAATATTACATTTTTCATAGACATTATTTTTATGAAAGATTTTTGACATTATTTTGGGATGTTTTGGATCATATGTTTATATATTTATGTATATAATATAAATTGTTATAGTTATAGAATGATGAAAAAGCCAGGGTAAAGGGATTTTAGTATTTTAATTATATGTTATAAAAAAAATTATATCTATGAATAGCAGTTTTATTAGTTGCCTAGATGTGTAGATGATTATGTTCGAAATGTTTAAGACTCTTATGTATGTTGCTTACTAGTGGGTAAGGTGTATTTATAATTTTTTAATGACAAGTCATTATTTGAAAATATAAGAGAGGTGAAAAAAAATACAGACATAAAAAAAGTGAGGATTAATATTGATAATGCCAAATTACGAAGAATAAAAAGAGTGATAATTATTCAAACCATACAACTGAATCATATAAACTACCTTTAACAAACAAAAAAAGAGAGGTTCTTTTGAAAGAATATGCTATACATTATTCTTATGTTAGCTAACATTGTATAAATACATGGTTTTGATGAAGTTTAAACGTATTTTAAATCCTTTGAAGTCATTATGAGCACTCATACTTGTGCAGGTGAATAAAATGTGAACTGTGACAAGTGCATTATGACAAATGATATTTTGTTTTGTTAGAATACTTGGATAAAACTGTTATATTTTGTATGTTATTTTTGTTTTGTTTCTTCATCTTTGAAGCTAACAGTTAGGGGTTCCATATACATTATATTCTTCCTTTCCAACTACATATTTTTCTTTCTTGGGAATCCTACGCAATCCTGGTTATGTGACTATACCTAGTAAGATAAGGGAGCAGTATCTATCTCAGGAAATTAATCAAGCTTTTTTTTTATATAATGCATGTCTTGCCAGGAAGCATTGGAGCCTACAGGGTGTCTAGAAATTATTTTAATAACTTTATAAGCACAGGCGAACAATTGTGTTAACATAATTTTTGGACACCCTGTAAATACAAATGATAATTTCGAATTTTAAGGATAGTCTTGGAAAACTTTAACTAAAAGAAAAAAATAATTTTTATATAGAATTTATGAACTTAATTATTCTTTCACCAAGATCTAAGCAAAACACAGGTGTAAAGTTTTAAAACATCATTGGAAAAATGCCACTAGGACCAAATTGTATTAAAGTGGATGAGGTCATATATGTGATATATAGTTCTAATGTGCTGTTGTTATCGTTCCATTTTCTTAAACTTTTATACAATTATGTCCATTCAATTAATTAATCACCTTGATATGTTCATTTATTAAACCGAGGTTTTTGTGCATTTTTCTAACATTACAAGTCGATATTCCAAAAGATCTGAACATTTTGAATACCTTTATGCTTTTATTTGCATACTTTTTGTAAAGGAACATCCCACTTTAAATGTTTTGATTTTAACTTAAAAAACTATTATAATTATATAACAGAAAAAAACAAAACAATTAATTGACCAGATCATCAACAAGTGCAAGCCTATTGGCTTCTTTCTGCCTATATTGAAATTTTGGAAAAATATTGTTTGTGAGTATGTTTTCTTGAGTTAAATACTTGTACAAGCTTTGAAAATAAAGGTTAACAAGAATTTAAATCATCATTTTCATATATGTGTTTATCTAACTTTGTGTGTGTGTGTGGAAAAAAATAGAAGGTAGAAATGAATTTTGGAATTTCAAAAATTAAAACTGTGCACATTTGTTATTTAAGTTAATGTATTTCTTCTCATTAATTATTTTTGACAAGTAATGAAACTGTTCACTCATCTGTCGCCTGTTAATTTTATGACTAATTAGTCATGCGAATCATATTGCTGAAATACCCTTTCTGCTCTTTCTACTTTTAATCAGTTGAGTGTGTGTACTTATATTTTAATAAATTTTATCAACATATCCATCATTTTTATCTTGTTGAAAAGGTTGTGAAACAGGGGCTTGTTTAAATGAAGGAATTGAATCCTTATGAACTATCCCAGTGAATTGTGAACTTATCTGAACTTTCATATATATTAAGTTTGGAAAGTGTATATAATGATCAAAGCCGAAATATATAGTTTTATAGTCATGTGATTGTTGTAACGAAACTGCATGGACTTAGAAATAAAATCGAACAGAAAATAATTGTTTTTTTTGTGTGTGTTTTTTTCTATATCCCAACAAGAAAATCACATCTTTGTATTCACAACAAAGTACTTCTGTTTACATAAATATTGGCAGCAACAAAGTGATTATAAATTTGATTTCATAAAACTCTTTTTACATCTAAAAATAAAAGTTTAGTATATATTGTTTTTTAGTTATTATACTTAAGTGAACTCTCACATTTTAAGCCAAAAGAACAAGGATCTATAGAATGAAAATTTTGAATCATCTTTGAATTTACTTTTTAATATATATTGAGTTTATGTTATTCCACATATGTTAAAAACTATACAGCTCACCCAAAAATTGTTTTTAATTTTATCCATACATCGCCCATAAAAATGTTACAATGCATATGACATAGGAGATAACTGAATTCCTTCAGCATGACTGACTGAAGTGTTCATTTAATCCTTATAAATCACTGAATAAGTATTATGCCAAAACATATTGGTGGTTAAGTTGATAACGACTTATTTAATGCACAAGTGCATGGTTTACTATAACAGTTAAATAAAACAAAATATAATGATCAGACTTAAATAACCTAAACATGTTTCAACTGGTCCATCCAGTTATCCTCAGGAGAACGAAAATGTCTCCACTTCATCAATCTTGTACATAATGTGTAACCGCGTGGTTGGCTCAACTGAGCGACGAGCAATTTTATTGACTATGCATAAGATGTACAGAAGGTTAGAGTAGATTTCTGTACCTCAAAATAAACGTTATAAATACTTCGAATTTTGACAAAAGACGAATCCTGATACTTGAACATAAGCAAGAGATTTGATAACGAAACAAATAACACCATCTTTAACCAATGTCGCCATTTAATACTTACCACATTTAATAATCATACTACACATAGCATAGCTAAAACTGGAGTTGTTTGAAGATGGCGCTCGCATTGAAACATAGATGTAAAGTTGAAGAAATATCCTTAGATAAAGTAAAACTACTTACCGAGGTTTCGATACACGCGGCAGATATAATATTTTAATGATAGATAAGATTATTTATATTTCTGCAAGTATGCCTTAATGGTAGTTCTATCACGGGTAAAACAGAATCCATGGTAAGTATTTATTTTGGGCGTCACTTGTAAGCAAAATTGTCATTTCATGATATTTTGGCCTTTTATTTTTTTGCTTTGAAGATTAGGTCTCGGCATGGCACTCTTAGGTATTTCAATTTTCCCAAAATTGTGTTTTACTTTTAGGACCAATTTATTTAAAATGTATACTAAGAAGTTATTACTGTGGAACTAGTTCTTGTCAGTTAACAGATTTTGGTTGTTATTGGGAATAATTTCATAATTATTTTTTTAATTGTAACCAATTTTCAAACATACTGTATATGAGGCCTAACACGGCATGCAGGGTTCAATGAATTTAAGCCTTTTTACTTTTAGTCGTTGGCAAGATATATAAACCACCTTTCAATTTCAAGATTTAAACAGTTAATTCTCATATTTTTTAACTTAGAAACAATTTGGCTAATACACGCACTACTTTTACAAATAGATATCTCTTATAAGCGTCAATGGTATACATCTGTTAAAAGCATTGCATTGTAGCATATTGTTAATATGCACAATTTTTGAAATTTCTGTTTTCTCTTAGTCAGTTTGGACACAAAGTTATTCAAATAAACGACTTAACTTTGCTTACTTTGTTGCACACGAGACTCAGTTTCGCTAATTAACCATTAGGCGTGTGCTCCTAAAGGGAAGATAGTTGTTTTTCTGCTGACGAATTGGGTACTAGTCCAGGACCTCCACGCCCCTTCGCTGGAATGCATATTGCTGTAGGTGACATGTGCGAACACTGTGGTGTGAGCAACTTGGCTTTGCTTGTATTATATTTAATATTGAAAACCAGATTATCCTCTATTAAGCAAAATTTTCCGAGAATTTTTCATTTAGATCTAGATTTACCTTTAGTGATTTTAAGAGTAAATTTTGCTTTTATGTTAACATTTCCTGTTTCCTTTAGTTTACCAGATGGGTGGGACTCACATAATTAAAGTTATAAAGTTTATCGTGAACGTTAATGCTAGGGCTGCATAGATTGGTGCCATGTTGTTCCAGATTCGGAGAGTATTGGGGAGGTTAATTGCACATACCGCCTAATTTCGTATTTTTAAATACTTTTTACTCTGGCACTATCCTTTTAGTCTAAATTTTATTATAAGGCTACTTATCAGTGTGGTGACTGGGGAATTTCCAAAACTAAAAAAAAGTGATTGGTCTTTTTTACAAGAATAAACATTGACCATAGAATGTGAATCGGAAAATTAGCGTAGAAAATAATAAAATAATTATTTAGGTAAGTGCATGGAATTGACCCCAAAAAATATACTTACAACAAGCTGAAAAAAAAAGGTTAGCAGTAGAAGCCAAATTAAGCAGCTGCCCATTACAGGATACCTTGAATGAAATAGAATGTAAGAATAGTCCAGCTGGAAGATCCCTACACTACACAAATACTGTGTTTGAGAGAAATAGACAAACGAATCCTTATTCAGAACTGCCTAGAAAAGGATAAGTGATGCAATAAGATATTGGTGTGATATGTAGATATTACATCAAAACCTTTTAATAATGTAGAATATGAACACATTGTTACGACAGCGGAAGTCACGTGACTCTGGTAACACGTGATGAGTTT